GGCCAATTGCGCTGGGGAAGGGACGAACCCCTTTGGGGCCGAATAGTTTTTTGCTAGCGTGAGAGAAGAAAGAGAGAGAGAGAGTAAATAAAATTAAAATAATTTCTTTCTTTCTAATGTATTTAATTTTAATTGTTAGTAAAATTAATTATTTTTATTAAAATGCTACGTTTTATATGATATGGCACTGACGTGGAGTCCATAATTCGGCCACCTCAGCGACGCGAACATGTAACTAACGGCGTCCCTAACGACGTCACATTTAATAACGGAAATGGCTATAATTGTCAACGCATTTTTAAATTTTCGGCTATTTTTGTGTATTTCTCAGAATCTGGCTATATTTGTCACAAAGTGCAAAGTTATGGCTATGGAAGTGAATTTTGCCTTAAAATTATTCTTATATGCTTTGAAGGCTAATATATATATATATATATATATATATATGTAATTATTTATGGGCTAATAAATAAATTAACCATTAGTTACAACAATTTATACTAAACTTGATAAGTAATCTTTGACGGTTCGTTGTTTAGGATATAAAGTATATGGTTAGGGTATAGGGTATAAGGTACGTATGGTTTATGGTGTATATGGTTAGGGTATAAGATATTGATGGTTTTGACGGTTCCAAGTTTTTTATTAACATATCTTCACTTGAAGTCATTTGAAGTCTTTAACGGCAGGAGATCCCTTTTTAATTTATGTTTATGGTACGTGGTTAGGATACAAGGTATGTGGTGTAAAGTATATGATATATGGTTAGGGTATAACAATTAGCAAATATCACTTTTTATCTATGTTTTGAAAATCAAAGTATGAATTTCACTTTTAAATTAACTATACTAGCAAAATCACAACTCAAAGACATATGGTTAGGGTATAGGTTATGTGGTTAATGTATAATGTATAATGTATTGATGGTTTAGGCCTTTAGGGTATACAATCAACAACATATACTAACTTAATATTGTTGATTGAGGGTAAAACTAAGTGTATAGGATATATGCTATTGAGTAAGTTATGATTGAAGTCACAATAATTTTACTAAATTTGATAGCTAATCTTTAATGGTTCAATTTTTAGGATAATTCGAACAATTTTACGAATAACTCGTTTGGCAACAGTTTACTGAAGTTATCTGGGCAATGAGTTATTTCGAAATAACTCCTTTTATCACTATGCTTTTGCCAAATACCACACGCCAAATACCAGATTTGCATGGTTATACTAAACGAGATACTTTAATCCAATTACTACTGAATTAATACTAAAATATCAAATAAATAATTAATGGTGTCTTTTGGTTGCAAATATTGATATCACCATTACTATTAGCTATAATACTTTACTAATTATGATTAATTACATAACAAGTTTGCAAGTCATAAAAATTGATTTAACATTTTGACTAGTTTTTTTCAAAAAATAAAGTATATATATACGAGGTAGAAATAAATTGGTTAAAAAGTTGAGAAAATATTTTAAATTAGTATAATAAAATGTGTAAGTTGGTAATGAGTAATGAGTTGAGTTACTTGATGCGCTGGCCCGAACAGCCCAAAACCCGATCCGCCCCCAACCCACCCGACCCAAAACCCGATGAACCCGCAACCCAATTTGCCCGCAACCCGATTGAACCCGCAACCCGACTAACCCACAACCCGTTTGAACCCGAACCCGATGAACCCACAACCCAACTAACCCACAACCCATTTGAACCCGAACCCGATTGAACCCAGCCCGAACCCTCCCGATTGACACCTATACTCTATATTGGCGTAGAATATTAAGGCGTTTTGTCTAAGGTCGTTCTAGTACACATGGGTCATGAATGAATGGTTCGGTAACAGGAGTTGGGTAAAAAAAGCCCATGGGCATAGCGCAAGCCCATATTTTCAGCAATAAATGATGGGATAGTAATTATTAATAAAAATCCAATAGTAATCCTAGTCTTACTCGGATAACAACTCCTCTCCTACTCAAATATAAAATTCCAGCCGAGTGTATATAAATTATGCGTAAAAATCAATGGATTTGCGTTGCTCATTGGTTTTTTGGTGCCGCAAAAACCTTTAATTGTATTTCTTGCTGGCTTTTTTGTGGATCAATCATGGCATCTTCTTCCTCCATGGCGCAGCAGAATCAGGCTTCTGCTTTGCCTAAACCAGGACAAGGTATTCAATTTTGGGTTTTGCTGCTGTTAATTTGTGTTGATTGTTTTATACGTTTCATTATTGTGGTTTAGGGGTTTTTAGCTTGCATGTTTGTTAGGGTAGAACTTAGGTTGGTTTTTGGAGCACTAAATCGCTGATTTGTATTGGACGTTAAATAATTCACGAACTACTTTGTTTGGGAGCGCGAATTTTGTGGCTGATTTAGGTGTTTTAAATTAGCAAGAGAGAGAGACGGTTGTCTACCGAGGAATGGTCATCGTTGAGGATGTTTTAGGTGTTTTAAATTAGCAAAATTATAATAAGACTAGAGTGACATATGGCTGCGCAAATATTAATTTATACAACTATGCATTGATATGAGAGAAGTCACTTTACTTTGAATTAACTCGTTCTATTCTATCTATCCATGGTTTGTTTTTTTCAATTCTTTCCTAAATGTTATTCGTTTCGTACGATGGTTTGATACCATTACCATATGTATTTAACACTAAAATCTCTAGCTATTCTCTTTCTTCTTCTTTTTATCCATAAAATAATTGCTCTATTTTTGTGTACCTTTCAATTCTAGCAATTGATAATAAATTTAAACGAATTGAATGACGACACTTGTTTTTTGGTCTTAATTGTAATACTTCCCTTCGTTATGCATTCTGCTTTCCTTCTTTTATAACCATTCTTTGAAATGCAAAATATATTTTATATATAAAAACATTGCATTCTTTTTTCATTGTAGATGGTGATGAAGAGGGGCCAAGTATATTATGCATACTTTGGGTTTTACTGGGTGGACTTGGAGGTGCTCTGGCCATGGATGGATTCCTAGAACTGATCAAGTTTGACAAAACGTTGGGGCCCGTCGATGTTAGTTTCGTGATGTGCATGGTGCTTGGGTTTGCACATGTGGTGGGCTTCTGCTTACCGTGGCCTCGTCGAGACGACGAGCTGCCTCGCTTGGGGTTTACTCGACAAATTATATTGCAAATGGTTGCGTTGCTAGCAGCAATCGTGGCTAGGCATTTTTCCCCTCATTCCAGTTCTATCGTATTTCAACTATTGATATCTTCGTCAATAGTATTTTTTGTTTGGATTAAATATTGTTCAGTTGCTCTTCATATCCGTGGTGTTAGTATAAGCGATGTCTTCGTGGCTGTTACGGCACAAAGTTTGATTTATTGGACACCTTATTGGGGAGCGATTATCTTCTACGTATGCTTTGTTGGCTACAAATTTTGGAGGGGCGGCTTCAAAAGAAAAGGTCATACGGTTGGAGCCATTCACGCACAAGAGATCATAGAACCCCAACTCCAGAAGAAGGAGTCGGAAGTAGTTATACACATACCATCACAAAACAACACTCAATCTATTTCTTCTACTGCATAAGATAAGAACAATGATGTACTTTCCAGGACCTCATAAAAGTTAGCCGGTATTATTTCTGTGAAGGAGCAAACAATATTATTATTTATCTATTCTTTTTTTTTTAATCTTTTGTACTAGGTACTCTTTATATATACTATGAATGAATGAGCCTACTCGTAGATATACATATGTTATTTGGTGTACATCCGATTTTTAGTTATATTAATCTCTATATCTCGACAAATATACATACATACATGTAAAAGAGACTCTGGACAAAAAATATGTTTTTATCATTCTATTTGGTTGAGTTGCTTGTTTATGTGTGATGGTGTAAGAATCGTTGAGTCTTGGGTATATAAGTTTGACCTATGTAGGGAGTCATACATATAATAACAAACTAGCAAAATATTAAAGAATTTCTTGAACTAATTAAACTTTAACCCTGTCTAAGTCAGTAGCTAGAAGGAAGGAAGGAAGGAAGGGAAGGGAGCTAAGTCTCATACATACTAAAGCTCAAAATCTCACTTGGACGGGTGACCAACAAGAAAATTTATTCTAACTAGAAACCACCCGCTCGCTACGCTTCACGAAAAATAATAAAAACATTTTTTTGGGTAAAAATAATAGAAACATTAAATACAAAAGAACTGAGAATTTTGTGCAGGCTGGTTAGTTTTGGGTCAGGGAACAAATAGTTGCTGCCAAATCTTTAAAGGCGAAACAAAATAGTTGGCAAATGTCTAATGATCTGCACGGAAGACTAAAAACATAATAATCATACATGAAAATGATAATGAAAATATGATTATTCTGCTCGTACCAGATACGCATTGCACACTCTATTTTTCACTTAATGCCATAATAAGTCATGGGCAGGGTATCACACAAAAGGGAGGCGAACATCCACAACACTTCACAACATGAACATGGACGTCATATCCATCTAACTGACAACAGACAGGATCTCAAATAATTTGGTGTGTTCTTGCCACATGTTGACAATCTTACAATGGTTGCCTGTCTGGAGTCAGATGACATATATTGCACGTCTGAGATGAAGTTGCAGAGCCAAACTGGGGTCTTCTTGTAGACTTGCAGTCCGAGTGAGTTCTTTGTCCGCTATCCTTTGAAGAATTATCTCTCTCGATTCATAAATAAACAGCAAAGATTAGATCCCTTCCACCTGAGGTAAGACCTTTCGATGAATAAGCAGGCCACTATCATATCTACCATTGCATTCCATCATAAAATTATTAACAAATGGAACTCATATATCATAAACAGAACAAAAGCAAATAGATATGACAACAATGCGATCATGAAAGCAAGAATCAATTAACAAAGAAACAGCAAGGTCGAATCAATTAGACCCGATCCAAAGTGCTAAAACAATAATAAAGGATCAAAGGGAGCTCAGCAAAGATTATCGTAATTCCAAGGAGCCAGCAAAATGGAAGAGGCAAACGAAGGGGCATTGAGAAAGCATTCCTACCATACAACAACTTTCAGGGAGAAGGTACTAAAACCTGAATCATAATCTTCCTCCAAAATGTGACGCTACCACATTTCACCGAACTGAGATTCCAAAGCAATATGGGTCTGTTTTGTTGTTTAAAAAGCAATGCGATTTAGCATATATAAACACAAGTCCCAGACTGTGTTTGATAATGATAATTAGTGCCATATGGAGAATGAAAGATTTCGAGATGAGAGGAAGATTAAAGAGTCGGAAGTGATAAGATAGGAACTTACCGAGGGAGGCTATGATGGATTGGTAGAGCTGAAATCCGGAAGAGCGAGTAGGGTCGAGTTTATGATGGTAAATGAAGGATCAGTACATCAGGTTGCGACCATATCTGAACTCGAGTAGTCCCTGTATATATTAAGAAGTGAAAACTTAAGCAATCAAGCAACCAGTTCTCAACTACCGAAGTAAAACCAAAACCAAGTACGTCCATCATTTCTTCACAGGCCAGATATTTCATGATTCAGTTGAGGATTAAAGGAATCAAAGGAAATAAAAGCATAAATTGGCAGCCTAGAAAGAGGGCAATAGAAAGGGCTTTACCAACTGACTGGATCATAGCAAAACAACATAAGAATAGAACTACATAAATCAAGAGACCAAAAGATTATCCTAAACAGCAAACCAAATGGCATACTTAAGCTCGTAGTGATAAAAATCTGAATTAATAGCAAAACACAGTTCTATAGTCAACGATACCCAAAACGTGTCATGACTTACAATATAAACCATGCAATAGAAATGACCTTATTCACATTTAAAAAAGGATGTAATTAAGAGTACAAAAGCAGTGAAATTCAACGTGCAATATTGTGGTGATTGGACTATAAGACATAACAATGAGCAAAGTAGAGAGGCAACAGAAATGGCGATTAACGAAATAGTGGATATAGAGAAACCAAGAATTTGGCACGTCTAAGAGTTGTGGGGTTTGTGTCTCTACTGCAATTTCTCTAAGAACTGCACAAAAACTTGAAGAATCAGAAAATGGTAAGTCTAAATAGTTCATGTCCAAAAATGACGACATTAAATAATAAACAGACCACCACTTGAGATGGCCTGATGTCATGTTGATGAGATTAATGTGCAACCTCATTGGTTCAGCCTCATTAGAGAACATTGACATGTCAGGCTTCTCTATTGCAAAGCTTCCTTGGTTGTTTCTGCCCTGTCAAATTCAGAACTACATAAAGATGAGTAAAGAAAAGGAAAGAAACTAAGCAAAGAAACTAATTCAGAACCACATAATTCTTCTTACTACCCTTCACCTTTTTCGGCATTCTCTCCTACGACTACAAAATCACCTGCAAAAAAAGAAACTAATCATAGTCAATAAACTATACTATCTTCTTTTCGAAGAGCAAAGCATACTGTGAGACATGAGTTGATGTAAGTAGTTGGTCAATTTAGTAAGAGAAAAGAGGCAATCACAGGCAGCAAATTTCCTTGAGAGATGGCAACTTTAGATAAAAGGTAGAGCATTGCCTCACCATTCCATGTACAAAGTATTTTCAGTCTGCGTAACTATGAACTATCGATATGAAGTATGTGTGGCAGAAGGTTTTTGTTGCAAAGCAACTAACCAATATGATATAATCTAAAGGCTGTTGTGGCATTCTTGTTTGGTTCCAACAAAGCAAATAGCTAGTGGCAAAAATCTAAGATTATGAGGGAAAGTCATGATGCCAGGCAAAGAAAATTCATTCTAGCCAGTAACCGAGCAGTAAACCCATAGTGAAGGTGAACACTAATTCCAAAGTGACCATCAATGAGACAAAACAGATTGTCAATCCTAATTCGACCCACACCCAATGACTAAATCAAGTAGGCAAAATGAGCACATGTAAAGTAACAGTAAACCCAATATGAACTTAATTGTAAATCTGACATAAATGTAGACACTAAACTTCAATCAAAGAACATCCAAGAGGCATGAGAGAAGAGAACTTTCTCTAACCACTTATGAACTAAACCAGAAAAACACAATGGCTAGCTTATTTGCAAAACGAAGGACCAATATTAAAGTGAATAATGTCGTCAACAACTAATGAAGTTAAACCATATCTACTTGATATAGCAATGTGCAAGCTGAATTCTGTGAACCTGAACAATACCATATGTGAACGATCTTTGCAGGTGGGAGAGAGAAGGCACTGAAAAGGGATCGAGAGTAGTGGGTTTGGCCAAATCACCCATTCAACTGAAGTTTGAAAAGAAATACCAGTGGATCACAGTAAATAACTCAAGATATAAAAACCCAGGATTTCGTTGACAGCAGACGGAGATGGTATGCAAATAATCGAGAACTCAGGAACCCGACAATAATCAATTGTAAGAAGAAAGTTGTTTTTATTACAACTCATAGCCTGCAAGCAAAGGCATACCTATTTTGCCCACTTTTTCTTCCTCTACTCCAACGATTCCCTTCTTCTTCTTCTTCTTCTTCTTCTTCTTCTTCTTCTTCTTCTTCTTCTTTAACAGCGAGAGAGAGGGAGGGATTGGGACCTGGGTTTTCGGCAAGAAAGGTATGGAAGACCTGAGTTTCTAGGGTGGAATGCAGATATGAGTTTCGGAATGGGATTGAAGCAAGAAAAGGCAAGAAAAGTGGTACCTGAGCTTAAGTCGGCGACCCTCTGAGTTGGGATTCCGCCGGCGAGTTTCGAAGGAGTGATGTTCTCTGGACCTTTCACTGCCACGCCGATCAAGCCTGTGAAATACTCGATTATTTTTTTGTCGGTGAGTTTGGAAGGAGCGATGTTCTTCCCGCGGATTAAGCTGGAGAGCTTCAGAGGTGGGATTCAGCCACCGAGTGGAGTGTTAAACCTAATTGATGCAAACTGACCAAATGTTTTATTGAAACGAAAGAAGTTTAAATACAAAGAACACTCTCTCACAAACTCTGCCGAACCACTAATCTCTTTTTCCTCATTTTCAGCTACCACTAACAAGTAACAACTAACTACTTCTGCTAACAATTAGCAGCACGTCATTGACTAACTCTAATTGTTCCACTTGGACCCAAACTGCTAAAACAATACAGCAACGTACTCTAAGCCACTCAACAACTTAAAACCACATGACATATGGTCTTTTATCCCAACAAATCCTCCCCTGAACTGAAGCCTACAAAGCAAATCTTCAGTTCATTTCCCAACATCAGCATCAGTTTCAATTTTCAGCAGCCTCAGTTTGCAATAAATGCTTCCATTTTGCAGCAGCAACTTCAATTTGTAGTAACAACATGAATTTGCAACAGCAACCTTTTATTCCATCTTCAGCTATACTATGGAGCCTTTCAAGCATGCCAAACTTCATAATCATCCAATTACTCACTCCAAAAGATTTCGGAATCACCCCTTTTTCCTTCACCAAGTCCATTAGACAACTAAACCTTCCATTAACCTTGCTTCTGCCACAAATACACAATTTTGATAATTTGATGATTAAGCCATTACTACTCAAGCTTCGGATCCTGCTACTGGCTCCATTTGTAGTCGACTTCTTATTAGCTCACTGCAGTGACTAATACAATTTGCTACTGTCACAAAATCAACCCCAGCCCTATACCTGAACTCCTCCGCTATCCCATTATCACGATTTATCTCAACGATTTTCTTGCTCAACATGTATGATCCCATGTTGTCGTCCCTTAGTCCCTGAGCCTTCTTGATCCTCTCCATACATGCAACACATCTATACTTCCGAGTCACAATGCAGCAAGGTGAGTCGACAATACAGTCGTTAACAACAATCTTCTCAAATTTGTCACCCAGCATGTCCTTGATGGTTTTGATGGGACTCTCAAATGATTGCTTCTTGTTACCATCATCCTCCGGTCGACGCATCTCAGTGTCATCTCCAGCGGCAGCTTCATCCTTGTCTATACTAAGACCAAGGCTCAACCTCTTGTGAATCCTCAATGCTAAAGTGTTGATATCATCCAAGCTGAAAGCAAAATTCAACATAGAGGTATCCAACAGTTTTAGCACAAGATCCATCACTGACTTGTCCTTCTTGTCAACCTCAATTATAGACAAAGTAACTTCTTGTTGTTTCTTTGAACTCCTTGTCGCAGCACCTCTTACTAATAAAAACACCGAACCAGCTATACTTCTTATATCCCTTGACTCATCAGCATTATCACTATTTTTGTATCCAGCCAGCTTATTCTCTTGACCACTTTTATACCAAATAAAGTAATTGAAAGCATCGAGATGTTTCAACACTCTCTTGGTAGCAAATGAGTGACAGTTGGTTGGACCATCCAAGTACTTGCTAAAGAGACCAACAAAAGATACAGAGGCTAACCTTGTGGTTGAGATACCTCCCACATACCTTGGATTCTTGAACAGCAGCTTCTTCATATCACTCTTAGCACACATTGTGACATCAAATTTGTCCATGAATGTCCCATTGCTGCTTGATTTCTTAAACTCCCCTGCAACCACAACCTTGGAGATGTCCTTTTCCTCCCCTGAAATCAGAAGGACCTTAAGTTTTGCTTGACATAGCCACTTCCCTCCTCTTTCTTTAGTTTGATGACTGAGCTGCCACGTATCACTCTTCTCAAATGACAGCAACTCAAGCTTAATGACTTGCCTCCATCTTTCATCATTTTCTATTTCCCTAGAACACTGAGGTTCTTCTGCTCTAACCACCAAACCATAGAATTCAAACACATTATCAGTTATAGAATCCTCCCAATAATCTGGCCATCTTCTCGGTCTTGACTTCAAACCTTCATGGTCATCACTGATACTAATGGTGTGCAGATCACACCACCTACACTCTCCGGTACTAGCGAAACCGACTGTGGCTACTGATGTAGTTGATGCAATTGGATTGTCTGACACCTTATTTGATATCTCAACCTTTTCATCCGAGTTACATATTACATCTTTGCAACCTTGCAAAACAAATTGAGTCACAAATGATGGGACTTCTGCATCCTCGAACCATCCATGCTTCTCATCACACTCCATATCTCTTCTCAGAGGCACATTCTTGCGGCAAGAGTTGTAAATGCTGAAAGCTTTAAGTTCCTGCAGTTTATCTTTCTTCTGTTGCTTGACCAGGCTCAACTCCAGAGTAAATTCCTCAAGCTTAGTTGCTTGTAAGCATAGTTCACTGGCTTCTATAACTCTACTAGCTGCATCTGTCATGTGACTGTTGCAGCCTGATTGCAGAGTCCACCAACTTTATGTATTATGTTTTGATGGAATATTCTCAGGTGCCAACAATGCAACATGTATTCCTGTCTCTTCCATTGGTTCTACACAAGTTATAAGAAGCATATTTTCTTCCATATATCCATAGCCATCATTAATACCGTGAGCCTTTTGATTCCACTCACGGCATTCAAAACTGAAATGCCCCCGCTTATGAAAACTAAAGCATTCAATTGTTTCTCGGTTCCATCTTCTTTCATCCCTGCATTGACGCCTGCCTCTGAAGGCAACTTGTTTCTTATGGTAGCTACCATAATCACAAGTGGATTTAAAGGCTTGATCCTCTTCCACAAGCTTCTTGCAAACTTTATGTTCATGCACTAATAAGGAGCTCTGGAGTGCATCCACTGAAAGGGTGTCAATGTCCTTTGACTCTTCTATGGAACAAACAACGTAATTGAACTTATCTGTTAAAGTTCTCAGAATTTTTTCAACAATCTTTACATCAGAAACTGCCTCTCCACAGTTCCTCATAGCATTGGCTATCACCATCACTCGTCCAAAGTAATCGTTCACAGATTCACCATCCTTCATCTCCAACCGCTCAAAGTCCCTTCTAAGAGTCTGCAACCGAGCTCTCTGAACCCTGGCACTTCCTCGAAACTTGAGTTTCATGGAATCCCAGATATCCTTTGCTGTAGACTTCTTGGCTATGGTGACCAAAATACTCTTATCAATTGAGCTAAATAAGTAGTTTTTAGCCTTAAGATCTTTCAAGACCTCACATTGACCTGCAGAAAACTCAGTACCGGCAGCTGGCATTTTTATTCCGTCAGCTACAACACTCCAATACTCCTCTGAACGTAGCAAATTTTCCATTAGCATGGCCCAATGATCGTAATCACCATCAAACCTGGGTATGCAAAGCTGGACATGACTGTTGTTACACATGATTTACTCTTCCACAACTCAAAGCAAGCAACTGAATTTCAATTTATTCAATTTTCTACCTCTCGTATTTCTCTCACCCTAACAAAGATGAACACTCACTAGTGTTCTCTGATTCCCAAACCCAAAGTAGACCAACACACTTGAATCAATCTCTCAATCACACACTCTCACTCACAATCACACGA